TAGCCTGAATTAAAGGAAGTGCTTTTGGTCTATTATTGCAGTTTCCCACTCGGGCTGCAGTTGATTAAAACGTCGACTTCCAGATTCAAACAGCATCATTAAAGTTAGTAGAGATGGAAGGCCAGCTGCTCCCATATTATCTGTTATGTCAAATGTCTTTGGCAGTGTTTCATTTTATGTTTGTGAACAAAAATGTTTTAAGGATGAAACATTTGCTATCAGTGCTAAAAGTTCCATATTTTAGACTTATCTTTTAATAAACACTATTAAGACGCCGGCAGATGGAAAAGCTAATGATGCGTTGTAATCACAGGAAGCTCAATGCTGGTATTATCCTTTGAGTTTGGGGGAAAGCAAATGGAGCTGACGGTCCATTCACCAAACCCTCTGAATGATGACCAGTGGCACCGTGTGGAGGCTGAGAAGAACATCAAAGAAGCTGTGCTCCAACTGGACGGTCAGTACAGAGAGGTCAAAGCAACGCCGGCGCTGGGACACACTCAGCTGGAGGTCTACACTGATCTATACGTTGGTAAGAACTTACCGCTTTTGGTCACAAAGGTTTCACATATTGCCAGTGATGGGAGTAACGCCGTTACCTTTTATTAGTAACGGGTAATCTAACTAATTACTTTGACTGTAACTATAACGCAGTTACCATTGCAGACACCCCATTACTGCGCGTTACTCAGGTCGCACAATGAACCTTTTTTCATGATAGGACTACTGTATTTTTAATTTTAAACATTATTTGATGGCCTTTGTGGCAGGGATGGAGATCCATATTTTATGTCACACACAGAGTATAGATCTAGATAGATAGATGGATAGATAGATGTTGCAGTATCTATAACAACCCAAACACACAGGATTTCAGAATTAGACATCCCCAGTTATTAATTTCTTAACGGAGGTAATGCAGCCTGATGATATTTACACCGCATCAGATAGCGTCCCCCCCAGGTTAAGCAGGGGGAACGCTATCTGACGGGGTTTATAGGCCCGTCAGATAGCGTTCCCCCCTGATGTCATTTACGTTGAGTTGCAATAAATGCTAAACTCTCTGCAGGTTCTTGTCTTTGTCGTCCGCTCTATTCAGCTGGCTTTGGAACACACGGCGAGAAGGTGGGGGCTGGGTGGTGAGGGTTACGGGGGCGAGAAACGCAAAAGTAACGCAATAGTTACTTTTATTGTGGAGTAACTCAGTTAGCAACTCAGTTATTTTTTGGGAGAAGTAACTAGTAACTAATTTTTCAAAGTAACTTGCCCAACACTGCTTATTGCTATCTAAACGTGTTAATAGCTTCTTAAACGAACCGTCAGGTTCACCATTTGCACTTATCATTGACAGAAGGTCTTCAAAGGCAGTAGTGATCTTTGCTCACACCAATACTCTCCAGCATTATGCGGGTGGGGGGGGCTCGCCCCGACGGGGTGCCACAAGGAAGAACCCAACCACCAGGCCGGCTGGCCGTAGCTGCGGCTGTAAAGTCTGACGGTGTCAGACGGTGGACACCAGCAGAGACTGATAGATGTCCAGGTGGGAAAAAACTGTCCTATTAAGGGACTCCTGAGATGTCAAGCAGGCATCATGGGGCCCACCATCCCGCTGGCTGGGCAAGCGCAGAGGACAGAGGCAAGAGTTTAGAGAGACCACGGAGAAAGACTGGCCTTCTGTCCGCCGCCTTTGGAGACACACTGGTTTTACTGGGAGGACATTGGAAGGAGAACTTTAAGGGTCTAATCAACCCAGCAGACAAAAAAAGCCAGGGACCTCGGGGCCAGATTCATCCCTCTCCCAGAATGGAGTCACTGAGGTCGTCACAAAAGTCAGCGGGTGGTTTCATGGGTGGACAGATCCACTCTGACTACCATAGAGCTCTGGATGTGTTCAGCCTGTCATGGAGGACACGCCTCCTTAGCATCACGTGGGGGGGGGGGGGCAGTGGCCCAGGTCTGGCAGACTGGGGTGGTGGTCCCTCTCCATAAGAAGGGACCCCAGGGTGTGTTCCAACTATCTTCTCCAGCCATGCCTATGCCAGGGAGTTTCATGGGAGTTAGTCCAACCCGTCCACATGCGATTATGGGACCTGGACAAGGCATTCAACATCGTCCCTGGCGGTGCCCTGTGGAGGTCGC